GTGGTGGGGGTGGAGGTGTCGGTGGCGGCAGTGGAGGCGGAGGCGGCGGCGGCGGTGGCGGTGGGAGCGGAGGTGGCGGAGGTGGCGGCGGTGGAGGAGGCAGCGGAGGCGGCGGGGGTGGCGGTGGAGCTGGTCGCGGGTCTACGCAAAGGAGTGGCTCCGGTGGTGGTCCGCGCCAGCAGCAGCAGCGCGGTCTTGAGACCCTGTCCCCTCAGCAGCTCCGTGAGTGGTACACTGCACGCCAGCGGGGTGGGGGTTTTGGTCCGTGCACCTACGACGTGCGCACCGGCGACCGTGCGGGTGAGCAGTGTGGGGGTGCACACCCCACCCAGTGCTGATTTGGCCGCCTGACGGCCGCGTGGCGTCACCAGTTCCCGGAGGCCTCCGAGATCCCTCGCTGGGGCGAGCTGTCTAGGGCGGGTGTTGCCATCTATGTTCTTGATTTTGATGCTATTCTTTCTGCCATGTATGCTGTGTCTATTAGTGATGAGGGTGACTGTTACCGGTGTTTCCCGCCCGATCCAGGCATTGAGACTGCTGCTCTAGAAACTGGTGAGGCGGCTGCCCAAGGTGCTTGCGACGCTGCTGCTCTAGGTGCTAGTGCGTCTGCGTCCTCAGGTTCTGGTGAGTCTGCGCTCTCAGGTACTACGTCGGCTTCGGCCTCCCTCACCTTCACCCTTGACTCTGGGGCTTCTCGCTCCTTCTTTCGGGACCGCACCACACTCACGTCGCTTAGTCGGCCGGTTGCGGTGTCTCTGGCTGAACCCTCTGGGGGTTTTGTCCTGTCTCACTTCTCCACGGTCCTCCCGTGTCCGTCGGCTCCCTCTGGCACCCTGTCTGGTCTCTACCTGCCCTCGTTCTCTACGAACCTGGTGAGTGGTGCTGACCTACAGGATGGGGGAGTACACCAGTTCACTCCTGCGCGTCAGCGGGTGACCCACTGCACAGAGGCTAGCACAGGCCGACACCTGCCTACGTTTACCCGTCAGCCGGGGTCGAGCCTGTACACACTAACCACTGCGTCTTCTCCAGTTGTTGAGTCTGGTAGGGTTACTGCGTCGGGTCAGGTGTTTGTTGCAGCGTCCAGGTCTGGTCCTGAGTCTGCCCCCTGTTCGTGTCGTCTCCTGTCTCACGAGACTCTCCTCTGGCACCACCGCCTCTCTGCTTCGGCTTAGAGGCATGGCCTCCCGTCTTCTTGTTTCTGGTCTCCCTCGGTCCCTCCCTCCCCTTCCTCAAGGCCCTGGCCCTACCTGTTTTCCCTGTGTTGAGGGGCGCCAGCGGGCTGCCCCTCACTCCTCCCAGTTTCCTCAGACACAGGCCTCGTTGCAGACGCTTTTCATGGACGTGTGGGGCCCAGCCCGTCCCCTACCGCACTCCGTCCGTCCCCGCGCCGCCGCTCTTCCTTGTACCAGGTCCCCCTCCGGTAGACCCCCTCCCCCCTCAGGGTCCGTCCCATTTAGGTGTGTCCCAGGTAGACTCTGTGTCCGTCCCCTTCAGGTGTGTCCCAGGTAGCCTGTCGAGGTCATTGGTGACTCTGGTGCTGCTGAGGGTGCTAAGCCTGGGGGTGCTGCGATTGGGGGTGCTGAGCCTAGGGGTGCTGAGCCTGGGGTTGGTGAGCCTGGGGTTACTGAGCCTGGGGGTGCTGAGCGTGGGGGTGCTGAGCTTGGAGGTGCTCCGCCTGGGGGTTCTCCGAGTGCTTCGTCTCTGCGGGAGCCACTCTCTCGACGGGAGCTGCGCGAGTTGTTTGCTCGGCGCTGGAGACTTGCTGCTGGTGCTGGAGGTTCTTATGCTACTGAGGGTGCTGCTGTCGCGGGTCCTGGAGGTGCTCGTACTAGGAGTACTAGAGCTACTGGGCTTGCGAGTTCGACTAGAGCTGGTGCTGCTGAGGGTGTTGGAGCTGAGACTACTGCTGGCGGTCCTACTGCGGGTACTCCTGGTACTGCTGGAGGTTCTGGCGCTACTGGAGGTGCAACTGGAGCGGGTGCTCCTGCTGGGGGTGCAGGTGCTGTACCTGCTGTGTCTGGCGTCGCTGCGCGGCCTCGACCGTACTTCGTTCCACTCCTGCAGCAGGTTCTTGGTCTTCCGCCTTCTACTAATCCTCCTCCTTCTTTAGAGTGTCCACAGCCAGTCCCGTCATAGTTATAGTTGCAGCCTACCTCCCGTTTGCCTGCTCCTTCTCCTTACACTGGTCCTACTGGAGGTCTTGCTGAGCGTCGTGAGCCTGCGTCTCGCCCTGCGTCGCCTGTCCGTGCTAGTGATCGTGGTTCGCGTAAGCGTCCTCCTCCTGTCCCTGGCACGCACAGGATGTCTCTGCGTCCGTCCACTGCTCCTCTGCGTGCCCCTTTGCCTTGTCCTCCTGCGTCCTCTCTTCCTACTTTTGCCGACCCGGAGTCGGACTCTCTTCGCGCTGCCACGGGTCTCCTGGCTATTGTCGTCACTGACCCTTCCTTCAAGTCCACTGCTCTGTCTGCCTTAGTTGCTGAGCTCGTCGACTTTGCTGCTCGCTGTCGCCTAGACTACGCTACTAGTCTTGTCGCTGAGTCTGAGTCTGTCTGTCCTCCGTCCGTCGGGGGTGAGTGTGCCCTTGGCACGGACGTCCTTGAGGACAGGCAGGAGGCGTTCCAGTGCTTGGCAGCTGCTTCACCCCATCTCGTGTCCGTACTGCTTACCCCTGAGGGAGACCCGGATGCACTTGACATCCCGACTCCGCGGTCTTAAGCGGAGGCGATAGAGGGTCCCTACTCCTCTGAGTGGCAGGCAGCTATGGATGCAGAGATGGCTTCCTGGAAGTCCACAGGCACCTACGTTGACGCTGTCCCTTCTCCTAGGGCGAACATCGTCAGTGGCATGTGGATCTTCAGGGTGAAGCGGCCGCCGGGTTCTCCGCCAGTCTTCAAGGCGCGTTACGTGGCTCGAGGCTTCAGTCAGCGGCAGGGAGTTGACTACTTTCAGACCTTCTCTCCCACCCCGAAGATGACCACTCTTCGGGTGCTGCTGCACATAGCCGCTCAGCGCGACTACGAGCTTCACTCTCTTGACTTCAGCACAGCTTTCCTGTAGGGCAGCCTGCACGAGGAGATCCGGCTGCGCCGCCCACCTGGCTTCACTGGGTCGTTTCCTCCTGGTACCCAGTGGAGCCTCCGGCGGCCAGTCTACGGTCTCCGCCAAGCGCCCCGTGAGTGGCACGACACACTGAGAACTACACTTGCGGCTCTTGGGTTTGCTCCGTCTACAGCCCGCCCGTCGCTGTTTCTGCACACCGACACTTCTTTGCCGCCGTTCTACATCCTCGTGTACGTCGACGACTTGGTCTTTGCCACTGCTGACACTGCTGGACTCGCCCACGTGAAGTCCGAGCTCGAGAAGAGACACACGTGCACAGACCTGGGTGAACTGCGTAGCTACCTTGGCTTGCAGATCACCCGGGACAGAGCACAGCGCACCATTACCCTGACTCAGTCACACATGGTGCAGCAGGTCCTTCAGCGCTTCGACTTCACGTACTCCTTGCCTCAGGCCACTCCTCTGCCTACTCGCCACTCGCTCTCAGCTCTGCCTTCGAATGAGTCCGTAGAGTTGAGTGGCCGGTATCCAGAGCTTGTTGGCTGCCTCATGTACCTGATGACCTGCACACAACCTGACCTTGCTGTCAAATTATAATGTTGTCTAGGCTTTATTGGGGTAGCACATATGGGGTACACATTTCTAGGGTTGCATATTTGTATCACTTTCATTCCATAGTCATTTCATTCTCGTTCTAATTTCCTCATGGTATCGAGCAGGTTCCCACGTGGGAACTGTGCCTAGGGCCCACCACATCGAGTTTTTTTTTTCCTGCCCGAAGCACGCTCAGCCCGAGTCGCGCTCCGGGCTCTCACTTCGTCGAGCCGCCCTAGCGGCCCCAAACTCCCTAGCGGCCCTGCAGCCCGACGATTCGGCCCCGCTGCCCTTCGCTGCGGCCTCGCCGCCCTTCGCTGCGGCTCCGCCGCCCTTCGCTGCGGCCCCGCCGCCCGTCTCAGCGGCCCCGCCGCCCTTTGCTGCGGCTCCGCCGCCTCTCTTGCTGCGGCCCCGCCACCCTTCTCAACGGCCCCGCCGCCCTTCCCTGCGGCCCTGCCGCCCGTCTCAGCGGCCCCGCCGCCCTTCGCTGCGGCCCTGCTGCCCTTCGCTGCGGCCCCGCCGCCTCACATTGCAGCCCCGCCGCCCTTCCCTGCAGCCCCGCCGCCTCACACTGAGGCCTCGCCGCCCTTCGCTACAGCCCCGCCGCCCGTCTCAGCAACCCCGCCGCCCTTCGCTGCGGCCCCGCCGCCTCTCTCGCAGTGGCCCCGCCGTCTCTCTTGCTGCGGCCCCGCCGCCCTTCGCTGCGACCCCGCCGCCTCTCTCTCAGTTGCTGCTGAGCCGTCCGAGCAGCCGTGTTGCCGTGTTGCTGTGCTACTGAGCTGCCCGAACCGCCCTGTCTGGTGAGAGCAGCGCTTCTGTCACTGCACTGCCCCTGTCCTACCGCTAAAACTGCTAGTCTTCTGTTGTCATGGCTACCCCTAGTGTCCTCGCGTTTGACGGTGAGGGTCGAGCCATTGACTTTGAGGTCTGGGTCGACGACCTCCAACTGTTCTTACAGTGCGATAGGGCAGACGGTCTCTCTCTCTTTGACCTCACCTCTGGCGCCTCTTCTGCCCCTGCTGCTGATGCTGACCCCACTGTTCGCTCCTAGTGGGCCACGCGCAATGCTGCTGCACGTCTTGCTGTGTGTCGCCACCTGCCTACCACTGAGCGCGCGCACTTTAGTCAGTACAAGAGTGCTCAGACCTTGTACGACGCTGTAGTTGCGCGCTACTCCTCCCCTGCCACTGCTGCACTGAGCCGCCTCATGCTACCGTACCTCTTCCCTGACCTTGCTGCCTTTCCCACAGTCGCTGACTTCATTACGCACCTCCGCACTAGTAACACCCGCTACCGCGCCGCGCTTCCTGCTGAGTTCTGCGCCAAGAACCCCCCCCCCCCCCATGTACATCACTCTTTATTATATAGTCACCCGCCTCCCTGACTCCCTTCGTGTAGTCACGGACCACTTCCTCTCAGTCTGTCCCACCACTCTCACTAATGACCTCTTAGTGAAGGCCCTCCTAGCAACGGAGAAGAGCATAGTCGCTGTAGGAGCCTCTTGTGGTGACCCTCGCACCCCCATCTTTGAGGGGTGTTCTCCTTCCCCCCTTTTGCCCTCTGTCGCCTCTGCCGCTGCGGCCGACCTCGTTGGTCTTGAGTCGGTCGGTGCGGCGTCTGCCCCTAGCGCGAGACGCCGCTCTAGCAAGGGCAAGGGGGGCAAGGGCGCGGGTGGAGCTAGCGGGGGCGGTGGAGGTGGCGGTGGAGGCGGCGGAGGGAGTGGGGGTGGCGGTGGGAGTGGTGGCGGGCGTGGAGGTGTCGGTGGCAGCAGTGGAGGCGGAGGCGGCGGAGGCGGCGGCGGTGCTAGCGGAGGCGGCGGTGGTGGCGGAGGTGGAGGAGGCGGTGGTGGAGGAGGTGGCGGTGGTCGGGGTGGCGCTTCGCATCGGAGCAGCCCTGGTGGTGGTCAGCGCCAGCAGCAGCGTTCTCGGGACATTCCCCCCCCTCAGGAGCTCCGTGAGTGGTACGCGCAGCGTCAGCGTGGTGGGGTTTTGGTCCGTGCACCTACGTCCTTCGCTCCGGCGACCGCGCGAATGAGCACTGTGGGGGTGCCCACCCCACCCAGCGCTGCTTTGGCCGCGTGACGGACGCTTGGTGTCAGCACTTCCCGGAGGCCTGTGAGATCCCCCGCTGGGGAGAGCTTTCTAGGGCAGGCGTAGCTATCTATTATCTTGACTTAGATGCTATTCTTGCTGCCATGTATGCTGTGACTATTAGTAATGAGGGTGACTGTTACCAGTGTTTCCCGCCCGGCCCGGGCATTGGTACTACTGCTCTAGGTGCTGGTGAGGCTGCTGCTCTAGGTGCCAGTGCGTCTGCGCCCTCACATGCTGGTAAGTCTGCGCTCTCAGGTACCACGTCGGCTTTGGCCTCCCTAACCTTCACACTTGGCTCAGGGGCTTCTTGCTCCTTCTTTCCAGACCGCACAACACTCACGCCGCTTGGTCAGCCGGTTGCAGTCTCCCTGGCAGACCCCTCTGGGGGTCCTGTCCTCTCTCACTTCTCCACTGTCCTCCCGTGTCCGGCTGCCCCCTCTGGCACCTTGTCTGGTCTTTACCTCCCCTCGTTCTCTACAAACTTGGTGAGTGGTGCTGACCTGCAGGATGCGGGGGTTCACCAGTTTACTCCTGCGAGTCAGCGGGTGACCCACTGTTCGGATGCTCGCACAGGCCGACACCTTGCCACATTTACGCGTCGGCCGGGGTCGAGCCTCTACACCCTGACCACTGGGTCTCCTCCTGTCCCTGCGTCTAGCCAGGTAGCTGCGTCGGGTCAGGTGTTTGCTGCAGCGTCCAGGTCTGGTCCTGAGTCTGCCCCCTGCTCGTGTTGCCTCCTGTCTCACGAGACTCTCCTGTGGCACCACCGTCTTGGTCACCCCTCCCTGCCTCGTCTCCGAGGCATGGCTTCCCGTGTCCTTGTCTCTGGTCTCCCCCGGTCCCTCCCTCCCCTTCCTCTAGGGCCTGGTCCTTCCTGTGTTCCCTGTGTCGAGGGGCGGTGGTTGACGGCTACTCGCGTTACACCTCAGTCTTCCCCTTGCGCAGCAAGGGTGATGTCACCGAGGTGTTGATCGACTGGATCCGCGCAGCTCGTCTCCAGCTCAAGAGGAGCTTCGGCTCGGACTTTCCTGTTCTGCGTCTGCACTCTGACCGAGGCGGAGAGTTCTCCTCTGGCCTTCTGCGAGCCTACTGTCGTGCGCGAGGCATCCGCCAGACCTTCACGCTTCCGGACTCTCCACAGCAAAATGGGATTGCTGAGCGCCGCATTGGCATGGTCATGGACGTTGCTCGTACGTCCATGATGCATGCGGATGCCCCCCATTTTCTGTGGTCGTTTGCGGTTCGGTACGCTGCGCAACAGATCAACCTTCACCCCAGGGTCTCCAGGCCGGAGACCTCCCCAGCTTTGCTGTGGACGGGGAAGGTAGGCGATGCGTCTGCGTTCCGTGTCTGGGGATCTCGGGCGTTTGTCCGCGACTTGTCTGCGGACAAACTGTCCCCTCGTGCTGCTCCTTGTGTCTTCCTTGGCTTCCCCCCTTACGCACCAAGGTGGGAGTTCTACCACCCCTCCTCTCGTCGTGTTCTGTCCTCCCAGGACCTCACGTTTGACGAGTCGGTCCCCTACTACCGTCTCTTCCCCTACCGCACTCCTTCTCTCCCCCCGCCGCCGCACTTCCTTGTGCCAGGTGCCCCCCAGGTAGACCCCCTCCCCCCTCAGGGTCCTGCCCCTTCGGGTGTGTCCCAGGTAGACGCAGTCGAGCCGGTCGAGGTTCCTAGTGACTCTGGTACTGCTGCGGGTGCTGAGCCTGGGGGTGCTGACTCTGGGGGTGCTGCGCGAGTGTGTGCTGAGCCTGGGGGTAATCAGCCTGGGGGTGCTACGACTGAGGGTGCGGAGCCTGGGGGTCCTTCTCTTGGGGGTGCTGCGTCGGGAGCTGCTGAGCCTGGGGGTACTGAGTCTGGAGCTGCTGAGCCTGGGGGTGCGGAGCCCGCGGCCGCTGGACCTGCTCGTGTAGCGTCTGGCGGTGCTGGGCTTGGTGGTTCTCTAGGTGCTTCATCTCGGCGGGAGCCACTCTCTCCCGGGAGCGACGCGAGTGGTTTGCCCGGCGCTGGAGGCGTACTGCTGGAGCTGGTGCTTCTTCGGCTGCTGAAGGTGCTGGTGCCGCCGGTCTCGGAGGTGCTAGCCCTGGGAGTGTTGGAGCTGCTAAGCCTGCGCGTGCAACTGGAGTCGGAGCTGCTGAGGGTGTTGGCGCTGAGGCTACTGCTGTCAGTCCTAGCGGCGGTCCTGCTGCGGGTGCTGCTGGTGCTGCTGGAGGTATTGGAGCTGGAGGTGCTGTTGGCGCTGGTGCTGCCACTGAAGGTGCTGGTGCTGTCCCTGCTGTGTCAGGAGTCGCCGCGCGGCCTCGGCCGTACTTTGTTCCGCTCCTTCAGCATGTTCTTGGTCTTCCTCCTCCCTTAGAGTGTCCACCGCCTGTCCAGTCACAGTCACAGTTACCGCCGGCCTCCCCACTGCCTGCTCCTTCTCCCTATACTGGTCCTACTGGAGGTCTTGCTGAGCGTCGTGAGCCTGCGTCTCGCCCTGCGTCACCGGTTCGTGCTGCTCGCGCTAGTGGTCGCGGTTCGCGTCAGCGTCCTCCTCCTGTCCCTGGCAAACACCGGATGTCTCTGCGTCCGTCCACTGCTCCTCTACGTGCCCCTTTGCCTTCTCCTCCTGAGTCCTCTCTTCCTGCCCTTGCCGACCCGGAGTCGGACTCTCTTCGTGCTGCCAGTCCTACTGTCATGCGTCTCCTTGCTACTGTCGTCACTGACCCCTCTTTTGAGTCCACTGCTGCGTCTGCTCTTGTTGCTCAGCTCGTCGACTTTGCTGCTCGCTGTCGTCTAGACTACGCTGCTAGTCTCGTTGCTGAGTCTGCGTCTTTCTGTCCTCCGTCCGTCGGGGGTGAGTGTGCTCTTAGCACGGACGTCCTTGAGGACAAGCAGGAGGAGTTCCAGTGTCTGGCTGCTGCTTCACCTCATCTCATGTCCGTACTGCTTACCCCTGAGGGAGACCCGGATGCACTTGACATCCCGACTCCGCGCTCTTACACGGAGGTTGTAGAGGGTCCCTACTCCTCTCAGTGGCAGGCAGCTATGGATGCAGAGATGGCTTCCTGGAAGTCCACAGGCACCTACGCTGATGCTGTTCCCCCACCTGGGGCGAACATCGTCAGTGGCATGTGGATCTTCAGGGTGAAGCGGCCGTCGGGCTCTCCGCCTGTCTTCAAGGCGCGGTACGTGGCTCGTGGCTTCAGTCAGCGGCAGGGAGTTGACTACTTTCAGACCTTCTCTCCCATCCCAAAGATGACCACTCTTCGGGTGCTGCTACGCATAGCCACTCAGAGTGACTACGAACTTCACTCCCTTGACTTCAGCACTGCTTTTTTGCAGGGTAGCTTGCACGAGGAGATCTGGCTGCGCCGTCCACCTGGCTTCACTGGGAGTTTCCCTCCTGGCACCAAGTGGAGCCTCCAACGGCCAGTCTACGGTCTCCGCCAGGCACCGCGCGAGTGGCACGAGACACTGAGGACTACGCTTGCGGCTCTTGGGTTTGATGCGTCTACTGCTGACCCGTCGCTGTTTCTACGCACCGACACCTCTTTGCCGCCGTTCTACATCCTCGTGTACGTCGACGACTTGGTCTTTGCCACTGCTGACACTGCTGGACTCGCCCACGTGAAGTCCGAGCTGCAGAAGAGACACACGTGCACAGACCTGGGTGAACTGCGCAGCTACCTTGGCTTGCAGATCACCCGGGACAGAGCACGCCGCACCATTACCCTGACTCAGTCACACATGGTGCAGCAGGTCCTTCAGCGCTTCGGCTTCACGTACTCCTCGCCTCAGGCCACTCCTCTGCCTACTCGCCACTCGCTCTCAGCTCTGCCTTCGGATGAGTCCGTAGAGTCGAGTGGCCCGTATGCAGAGCTTGTTGGCTGCCTCATGTACCTGATGACCTGCACACGACCTGACCTTGCATACCCTCTTAGCATTCTCGCACGCTATGTTGCTCCTGGGAGACAAGGTAATGGTGCGGTGTGCTCTGTCCCGAGTGATCTGCAAGCCAAGGTAGCTGCGTAGTTCACCCAGGTCTGTGCACGTGTGTCCTTTCAGCAGCTCGGACTTCACGTAGGCGAGTCCAGCAGTGTCCGCTGTGGCAAAGACCAAGTCGTCGACGTACACGAGGATGTAGAACGGCGGCACGGAAGTGTCGGTGCGAAGAAACAGCGACGGGTCAGCAGTAGAAGGAGCAAACCCAAGAGCCGCAAGCGTAGTCCTCAGTGTGTCGTGCCACTCACGCGGTGCCTGGCGGAGACCGTAGACTAGCCGTCGGAGGCTCCACTGGGTGCCAGGAGGGAAAGTCCCAGTGAAGCCAGGTGGACGGCGAAGCCAGATCTCCTCGTGCAGGCTACCCTGCAAGAACGCAGTGCTGAAGTCGAGAGAGTGAAGCTCGTAGTCGCGCTGAGCGGCTATGTGCAGCAGCACCCGAAGAGTAGTCATCTTCGGGGTGGGAGAGAAGGTCTGAAAGTAGTCAACTCCCTGCCGCTGACTGAAGCCACGAGCAACGTACCGTGCCTTGAAGACAGGTGGAGAGCCCGGCGGCCGCTTCACCCTGAAGATCCACATGCTACTGACGATGTTTGCCCCAGGAGGGGGAACCGCGTCAACGTAGGTGCCTGTGGACTTCCAGGAAGCCATCTCTGCATCCATAGCTGCCTGCCACTGAGAGGAGTAGGGACCCTCTACGGCCTCCGCGTAAGAACGCGGAGTCGGGATGTCTAGTGCATCCGGGTCTCCCTCAGGGGCAAGCAGTACAGACGCGAGATGAGGTGAAGCAGCCGCTAGACACTGTAACTCCTCCTGTCTGTCCTCTAGGACGTCCGTGCCAAGAGCACACTCACCCCCGACGGACGGAGGACAGACAGACGCAGACTCAGCAACAAGACTAGCAGCGTAGTCGAGACGATAGCGAGCAGCAAAGTCGACGAGCTCAGCGACTAGAGCAGACGCAGCAGTGGACTCAAAAGAGGGGTCAGTGACGACAGTAGCAAGGAGACGCGTGACAGTAGGACTGGCAGCACGAAGAGAGTCCGACTCAGGGTCGGCAAGCGCAGGAAGAGAGGACTCAG